TTTGGTGAGAAATCACAAAACTCGAGCAATGATCCGAAAATTGAGCTGATCGAATGAAAATCTTGATTGGATTACGGTAGTTTTCTGAAAATAGATGCCTTTTAGAAAATAGATTAAGCTTGTAAGTATACATTTCGAGTGCCCCCCCCTGTGTCCCCCTTTTGCCCCCCTAAGTGCCCCCCTCAAAGTGTCCCCTTTTTGTCCCCCTAAAGTGTCCCCCCCTAGTATCCCCCTATTTTTTTTCATATCAAATCACAACTTTTTGCTCTCCAAGGAAAAGGAACGAAAAGACTTTCTGGACAGCCTAATAATCACGAGGCTTGCTAATGTTTGCTTGTTTCTCTCACTTACTACGGTTTTTTAACATCTCCCTACATATACGTTATTTTGCCGATCATTGAGTTTAAAAAGTTAAAGCACATTTGGAGAGCAAAAAGTTGTGATTTGATATGAAAAAAAATAGGGGGATACTGGGGGGGGACACTTTAGGGGGACACTTAGGGGGGCAAAAGGGGGACACAGGGGGGGGGGACACACACACTCGAAATGTATACTTGTAAGTGTCAAAATTCAAAAGTCTTCTCGATTTTTCCAGCTAACAATTGCTCTCGCTTGTTGTTCGGCCACAATTCTTCTCCTCTCGATGCCACTCACGCAACATTTAGGCAAATACGCGTTTCTACTCTGGGTTTGTTTGGGGTTTTAGAAAAAAAACTATAGAAAAATGTTTGACTATAGTACATCGATTTGTTTAATCGGTGTATCGTTGCCAAAATTGAAATCAATTGAATTTTTACATAAAGCCATTGCTGATTAGCTTGAAAGTTGAGATTTTGAAGTAAAGAAAATCTCGTTTGTTAGTATTTGAGTTTGTCAAACTTGTCAAATGATTACTAAAAATACACTGACATTGAAAAGTGCTACAAAAATAAGATTTAGAAATTAAATTATTATCCACTAAAAGATTTTTTTTAAAATCTATTGGGTTGGTGAATTGAAAACTGCGGGACTTTGAACTAAAATTTATTCAACATAAAACCATCAATTCATTCCAAATAATTTCCATTATTATTGACGACTTCTGCCCATTTTACAGGCAATTTGTGGATTCCTCTTTCGTAGTAGGATTTTGGTTTGTGTGTGAGACAAGTGTGAGACTCAAAAATGGAGGACTGGAGATATCCCAGTTTGAGCACTTTCTTCAAAAGAAACCCATTTTGGTGTCAATAGAAAAGTTGTAGAGAATCAAAAATTAGGCCTATAGCCAAATTTCCAAGAAGATACACTTAGTAGTTTTGCTTAAAATGCAAGTTTTGTGTAAATTTGGCTTTTCTTGAAAACCAGTTTTTGAATCGTTCTGAAAATTTGGATATAAACTTAATTTTTGATTCTCTACAACTTTTACATTGACACCAAAATGGGTTTCTTTTGAAGAAAGTGCTCAAACTGTCACATATGGCCGGCAGTTTTCAATTCACCAATCCAATAGTATTGAAATTAGTACATGATCTATCTGTAGGTATACAGGCTGTATTTGTAATTTATACAGTCTGTAAGTAAATGCTTTGTGACACAAAATTTGCTTGACGAAATTTACCACTAAACACCACTATTCAAAGCACTTTCTAGTTCATTTTCAAATTGAAATCAGTTTTCTCGCTTTTTTATAATTTAAACGATAAATTTCGATAAATTTAAACTTTAAATGTAACATTTGGATAATTTTGAGCTTTTTAACGAGAACTAGACTGAGCTGAGTCAAAAATCAGTGGAAAATCAATGGAAAATCAATGGAAAATCAATGGAAAATCAATGGAAAATCAGTGGAAAATCAGTTCATGAAAAGTTCACTTTATACCACTGAATTTGAAACTTTGAAAGAAAAATCACATTTTCTTCAATTCAATATTCAAAAAAAACAAGTTGTATCAATATTTGCTTAATTTTGCAATTAGTACAATTAAATCAGATATTAAACAAAACAAACAACAAACAAACAAATCAAACAAAACAAAACAAACAAGTTTCAAAGTCTAACGCTTTAAACTTTCAGTTGGTTCTTTTGTTCATTTGTATGGCCGCCACGCACGCGCTCTTCATCACAGCCGCCGTGAAATGCTTTGGCCCCAAGTACAAAGGGCCAAATTATGGATTGCTCATCCTGTCAACAGTGAGTTTATTTTGGGAGACAAGTGTTTATTGTAGCTGTCAAATTTGAGACTCTCTCCGGCAGTGTCCTGTCGATCGCTTCCCAATATTGGCTACCCGAGATCGGCTACAGTTGGGCTTTCATCATCACGGCGTGCTTTCCGTTTTGTGGTAAGTGCAAAAGCAATAAGTGATTCAAAAAATTGAACCCACATCTACACCGAAAAAAAACGGGTTTTCCCGGTTCAAAATGTCTTAGAATATCTAGAAAAAGTCGAAATTTTGAGAATTTTGAGAATCAAAGAAAGAAATTGCACCTGATTCTAAAGGAATTCACCCGCTAAAGTTAAAAGAAACTTTTTTTTTTGATTTTATTAGCCGGGTGAATTTGTCTTCACTACTTTTTGTACTTAACCTATTCACCAATTGACCTACGGTTTGCTTTATTGTAAAGACCAATTCTTTTTCTATAAAAGTTTGCTGAAATATTACTAAAATGTTCTGTCTCTGGTTTTTTTATCTATAGCTTAAAAAATAGAGAATTTCAAAAGCTTTTGAATAGAGCAAAGCACACCCAAAGATATCAATCCTAACGAAAGTTACAGTGGTTTGTAGCCTGATTCGATCGCTTCGACTACGCTCGAGTACGGTCCGTTTCGTTTAAATCACTGTAACTTTCGTTAGGATTGATATCTTTGGATGTGCTTTGCTTCATTCGAAAGCTTTTGAAACTCTCTATTTTTTTAAGCTATAGATCGTGTCAATCCGGCAGATTTGAAGCAAGTTAGAAGCGTTTTTAGTGTGACAGTTCAGTTTCTAGTGCTCATTTCTAATACACTTGAATAGTCTAAGCTAGACTCATGTCAATGAGTGCAATTTCACATCTCTCAAACTTCATTTTCAGCTTTCATCTTGACATCGACGATTCAAGTGACACGACACGGACATTATATTTGTTGAAACGCATCGATCATTAAACACAAAAATTCCCTCCCTAAATCAACCGCATTTGAAACATGGCTTTTTCAAAAAGTCGAAAGCAAGTCGCATCATCAGAAATAAGCGGTTAAACGATGAAATTTTCAATAATTATTTTTGAAAATTACCTAATTCTTTGTCCAAATTCCCTGTTCAAACGAAAATCCATCGAAAATTCGCTCTCAAATCGGGAGTGGGACAAATGCGACCTTTTTTTTTGCGCACCCGGACATTTTTCCGCACCTTGCCCATTAGCGCACCTTTTTTCGCGTTTTAAAAAAGCTCTAAAAAGCTAATATTAACCAATTTCCATTCCAAATGTTGTTTTTCTAGGTAATTTTAGGGCGTAGAATTCAAATTTTGACATAACAGAGCGTGTGGAACCAATTTGAAAGACAATTTGAAAGGCTAGATCAAATTACAGAAAATTGTCGATCTTTCTCTTTGTATAACTCCGTCCGTTCGCTTCCACAAGCTCTGATATGCCAAAATTTCGATTCTACGCCCTAAAATTACCTAGAGAAACAACTTTTGGAATAGAAATTGGTTAATATTAGCTTTTTAGAGCTTTTTTTAGAGCTTTTAGAGCTTAAAACGCGAAAAAAGGTGCGCTAATGGGCAAGGTGCGGAAAAAAAGGTGCGCAAATGTCCCACTCCTCTCAAATCAATTTTTGTCGAAAATCTCTGCACTTATTCTCCTCCTCCTCTTTTTCTTTATTTCAAAATTGTCAAATTAGCTAAATTTTCGCCGATTTTGTAGAGCTTTTTCATGTATTTACAAATCCATTTTCATTTTATTTTATTTCATTTCATTTCATTTCATTTCATTTCCATTTCAATTTGTTTTAAACTTGCCAAAACTGTCATTCTGTGCGTATATTTTTACGGGTTTTGCTCTCACTTTTTGCCGGTCTCATTTATCATTTTTTATTTTCCTTTTTGCAGAACAAGCTTACAATTAGATATCTTTTACTTTATTGTATCAATAAACATCTAAAAACAATCATTAAAAATCAAATTCGACATAATTTTTTTTGAAGATCTTTAATCCTTCATTTCTGTAGCCTAAACGATTACCCGGTTATTCAGACCAAGACTCTAAACTGGCTTGGAAAAGGCTTGCTAATGAAGCTTTTGAATGCTATATGACTAAACGGTTTAAAAGGTTACTGTAACTTTGAAAGATTGGGACTATCTTGAAAAAACGGCAAGTTTTGAATAACAGAATGCCCCTTCTTGGAGTGTCGCTTAAAAGTTGATAAACTTGAAACAGTTTTTCTTTTGGTTTTATTAGTTTTTAGTTTTTAAAGCAAACTACAGCAAAAGCAAATAAAATAAAATAAAGTTAACATTTTTGCCTATGAGACGCTTTACGATACAAGTTTTCAATTGGGAAAACGAGAAAATATATTAAACTTACTTTCAATCATCCATAAACAATTTGGAGTAGATTAATTTCAGAAATTTCAGAAATGTTGTCAATTTTCTTGGCATTGATGACCTAAGCCTTTATCGAGCTCTTCTGTGTCCGCCACGAGCTCTTCTGTGTCCGCCACGAGCTCTTCCGTGTCCGCCACGAGCTCTTTTGTGTCCGCCACGAGCTCTTCTGTGTCCGCCACAAGCTCTTCCGTGTCCGCCACGAGCTCTTTTGTGTCCGGCCACGAGCTCTTCTGTATCCGCCACGAGCTCTTCCGTGTCCGGCCACGAGCTCTTCTGTGTCCGGCCACGAGCTCTTCTGTGTCCGGCCACGAGCTCTTCTGTGTCCGGCCACGAGCTCTTCTGTGTCCGGCCACGAGCTCTTCTGTGTCCGGCCACGAGCTCTTCTGTGTCCGGCCACGAGCTCTTCTGTGTCCGCCACGAGCTCTTCTATGTCCGCCACGAGCTCTTCTGTGTCCGCCACGAGCTCTTCTGTGTCCGGCCACGAGCTCTTCTGTGTCAGTCGATGAACAACCCCAGCCAAAAAAACTAAATTTTGCATGTGGGTGGAATCGAACCCGAGGGCAAAAATACGACCGCCGTTTCATAGCCTATATCCACTAGGCCACGAGCCCATCTCTGCCCGACAGTGAGAAAAGCCTTATAAAGGAATCAATTTTGAATCCCGTTTTTGCATGCCACATTCCTCGCCTTTCCATGGCTATTAGCGGTTAATTTTTGCTGCGTTTTGTTCGCCATTGTCGATTCTATGTTTATTTCTATGTTCTGCACTGTGTTTGCAGTCGATTTCGAACTTTAGGAAGAGCTGAGATCATTCCTTTGTTAGTTCAATTTATTAAACGTTAAATATTAAATGTTGGAATACAGCTTTTTTCTATGGCTTTAGCTCATTCAAATCACAAGAAAGACTCATTTCATTGCAAAGATTGTCTACAAAACAAATTTAACAAAACTTTTGGCATTCAAAAAATTGTAAACAGGTTTGTTACATTGAAGATTTATTGTTGAAGTAATGAAAAAACAGCTTTAATTTAGTTTAAATTTTATAAAAATAGGCTATTGTATGGAAAAAATGTTATAGAAATAAAAAAATGAAAAAAAATGAAAAGAAATAACTAGGGCTGCCAATATCAATTTTATTTTAAATTTTTTGAAACATTGAAATTTTTTTTTCTTTAAAAAATCCGAATTATTAACTATCAATAAAAAGCTGCTAATTCTATTTTACAGGGTGACCAGAAATAACGTTGCGGGATTTTCGGCAGCCTAAAATGCTCCGTAAGATTCTTGAGGATGTTTTGCTTCCATGGGCTCAACAGCATTTTGGTAACGGATTTTGGACCTTCCAACAAGGCTCCGCTCCTTCTCATCGAGCACCAAAACCACCAAAACGATCGGATTTGGTCAACGTCCTCTCCAGGCAGCTTTGCGATTGTTCAACACCGACAAAATCCCAAATCGGTCATGGTATGGGCTGGAATCTGCGCAACCGGCAAAACTCCTCTCATTTTCATCGATTCTGGGATAAAAATCAATAAGGATGTGTACCAAAAAAGATTCTTGAGGATGTTGTGCTTCCATGAGCTCAACAGCATTTTGGTAACGGATTTTGGACCTTCCAACAAGGCTCCACCCCTTCTCATCGAGCCAAATCCACACAGGACTGGTGTAGGACAAACTTTCCGGATTTCATCTCGGCCCAGGAAATGGCCTCCGTATTCGTGCGATCTCAACCCGTTGGACTACAGTGTTTGGTCAATTTTGGAGGCAAGGGCTTGTGCAAAACTCCACAAAAGTTTGGAGGCTCTTGAGCGATCGTTGACCAGGGAATGGGATCGAATCACTCCGGCCGAGCTGCGGCCCATCACCGAAAACTTCATCAAGCGTTTGAGGCTCTGCATCGGAGCCAAAGGTAGATTCAAATTTCTCCAAAGGTCACTTTGAAGAAAAGTAGATTTTATGCTCTCTTTATATCAGGTTGTTAAGAAAAAATTGTTTCTGTTACAAAATCTTTTTGGATTTTTAAAAAATAGGCTAAATTAGGCCGCAACTTTATTTCTGGTCACCCTGTAAACAATAGAATTTTAAATAATACCTCAATTCTCTGAAAATTTGAATCAAAACCAATCAAAACGTTATATTGAAGCAATCGGCAGGTGAAAATCGGGTTGACACAAATGCAGAAAAGGTAAACGAGCAAAGATCTCGTTCTCCTCAATTTCCTGATTGATTAGACAGATGATTGCCAAATCTTTTGATTTAATATCATCAGAATCGATTTTTGGATCACTAATCAATATTGAAGTGAAGCTATTACTGAAAGCCATTGATCCTTTTTTGGTTGAATAAGTTGAAACTAACTCTTTTACTTTGTACAATCGATAACGAGTGATGTGATGGTGGAAATTTGGATCTGGAGAGCTTGAGATTTGAGTGGATGAGAAGCCATGTTTCTAAATATGTTTCTAAATATGTTTCTAAATGAGAAGCAGAAAGGTCAATTATTAAAACAAAATTGTCTTAAAAAGATAGAAATTTAAACAATAAACTCTTTTTATTTGGAGAAAATCATAGATCAATTGGTGGATTTGTTATTTTTCAACCGTATTAGTAAAAAGACTTTCTGAACAGCCTAATAAATATTAGGTTTCAAGTTAAAGCATAAAAAAAGACTCTACCAAGGATCAATTCACGACTGACTAATTGATGATTAGGCTCTCCAGTCGCGCAACGATTCTCAACTTTGAGCTGAGACCAGTTCATTATTAGTTTTCTATCGTGAACCCAGAAAACGTGGACCTAGCTCCTCCCAGACCCAAAGTTTACCTCAAAAAGCTGCTCAATACTACTTGTTTCATCGCAATTTCGAAAACTCAACACTCTCGGCGTTGGAGAATTGTCGATGGAGAATTCGAAATTGATGAGCTTCTAAAAGTTCAACCCTGATTTCAGTAATGCATGAATTCATGAATTCATGAAATTAAACTGAGAAAAAAACTTCACTTATGAATTCCTTTACCAAACCTGCACGATTTCCATCACAAAACTCGTTTCCGGATGGGAAATATCGAAAAATCGATGTCTCGCCAGCATTTCACAGCTCATCGGCACCGGATAAAGATTGCAGGATAAATGCAAATTGTTGATTAATTGAATCTACAAAATTGCCTTTTGATAGAACAAAAAAAAACCATTTCTCACTTGTGAAATGGTCAAGATTTTCTGAATCGATTCCTGGCTACGATCACAGATCTGACGACGACAACAGCAGAATTTCTGGAAATTAATGTTACCGTATCTTCTCTAATAGTAGTGCACCCTGAGCGTCGCCTAAATTCCTCGAAATCTCGAGAACCGCTTATCAGAACCTATCGATGTGGGGTCGGAAAATGTAGCTGACGATGAGATCTAGTGGGGGATTTGAGTGTTGAGCTTCTGGGAGAACTTTGGAAACCGTAAAATAGTCATCAACGGGGAAAATACGGTACTTTGACCCGGATCCGGTTCACTATCGAATTAGCAAATATTGTATTCTCCCTAATAGTAGTGCACTTTGAGCCTCGCCTAAATTGCTCGAAATCTCTAATAGTCGCCTAAATTGAGCGTCGGCCAGAGCGTCGCCTAAATTGCTCGAACTCTCGAGAACCGCTTATCAGAACCTATCGATGTGGGGTCGGAAAATGTAGCTGACGATGAGATCTAGTGGGGGATTTGAGTGTTGAGCTTCTGGGAGAACTTTGGAAACCGTAAAATAGTCATCAACTCGGCTCGGCGGGGTGCACTACTATTAGAGAAAATAAGGTAATCAGTGCTTGTGATGTGCTTCTGATCAGTGCTTGTGATTGTTTAATAATACCTATGCAGAGCCTGCTTCCGAAAATCAGATTTTTACATGCAAATTGATCAATTTAGCTTTTTGAATGGGCAAGATAACTCGTACTGATCTTTTTAATGCATTATTTCTATAAATAATTGGAGAATGTCTCCCGCCTATTATTCGAAAAAACTTGAAACTCTTACATTCGCCTCTCTCGTTTCGTCGGCCAACTTTGGGAAATCGCTTTCCGTTTTCCAAATGATCAGCGCCTAAATTTAAAATTGAAATGAAACAGCTATGGTTGAAAATCTTGCAATCGATGATTGAAAATTGAGTACCGATCCCCGAAATCGTCCCTCAGTTAGCTGAAGAAACTTCTTTAACACTTTATAGCAAGAGACGACAATCTCGGGAATGATCGGGATGTGAAAGGGAAGACCGTGAATCAGATGGACAAGCTCCTGGAATTGAAATCTGGGTGAAGTTGGGTGAAAAATCGATTCTTTTTAACGTTTTACTCACCGTTTTACTCAAAAACTTACCGTTTTATTCAAAAACTCACCGTTTTACTCAAAAACACTCACCATTTCCCTCAACGAGCCAATTCCAGAAAGATTCCACAAATCGAGGACGAGCTTTTTACTCCGAATTCGAGTGATGAATTTGATTGCATCTAAAAGTGTCTTTTTTTTTCTTTTCAGAACTTTTCGATAAGACTAATGTTTTAAAAAGTAGACGAATTTGATATAAAACAGCTTCCCTATACCATTGTTTGTGGTTTTTCGGTTTCACCAGACTTAGCTTGAAACTTCGAAATTCGAATGTCCGATGTAGTTAGGTGAAGCTGTTTTCTCAAAGTTTTAAGCTTTAGCTTCAGTATTTGACGGTGAAAAGAACTGTTTACGTTTTTTGGATTCAACTTTGAAGTCTTGGAAATGGATTTATTGCAAAATTTAGGGTAGGCTAATTTCCGCAATTTTTTTTGAGCAACAGGATCATTTGCGCGGCTGGGTCGTTTGTGCAACTCGTCATAACTTTCTTCTAAGTCGACCAATCTTTATCGATTTTGGTTTCATTTTGTTGCACTTATTGAGATCTATAAAATGAAACCAAAATCATAAAGATTGGTCCACTTAGAAGAAAGTTATGGCGAGTTGCGCAAAAGATTCAGTTGCGCGAATGACCCTATTGCGCGTAGGACCCTATTGCGCGTAGGACCCTATTGCGCGTAGGACCCTATTGCGCGTAGGACCCTATTGCGCGTAGGACCCTATTGCGCGAATGACCCCATTGCGCGAATGACCCTATTGCGCGTAGGACCCTATTGGGCGTAGGACCCTATTGCGCGTAGGACCCTATTGCGCGTAGGACCCTATTGCGCGTAGGACCCTATTGCGCAAATGACCCCATTGCGCAAATGACCCTATTGCGCAAAAAGTGCGGAAATTAGCCTACCCACAAAATTTTGTAAAAAATACTTGACTTTATGAGTTGCATAGCTTTTACACTCATTTCTTATAAAGTAGAAAAAGAATAATTTGCAATAATGTACATTGGATCTTAGATCTTATCCATTTTGCAAATTAACATCTGAAAACTTTTCTTTTCTCTCGCATTTGTTGATTTTAAATAGAGTGTGTTCGTCTGCAGAAATAGTGTGAAATAGGAAACGGATTACAATATAAATTACCGTATTTTCTCTAATAGTAGTGCACCGCGGCGATCCGAGTTGGTGACTATTTTACGGTTTCGAAGCTTTTGCAGAAGCTCAACACTCAAATCCCCCACTAGATCTCATCGTCAGCTACATTTTCCGACCCCACATCGATAGGTTCTGATAAGCGGTTCTCGAGATTTCGAGGAATTTAGGCGACGCTCAGGGTGCACTACTATTAGGGAGAATACGGTATTTGCTAATTCGATAGTGAACCGGGTCCGGGTCAAAGGTCAAAGTACCGTATTTTCCCCGTTGATGACTATTTTACGGTTTCGAAGTTTTCCTAGAAGCTCAACACTCAAATCCCCCACAAGATCTCATCGTCAGCTACATTTTTTGACCCCACATCGATACGTTCTGATAAGCGGTTCTCGAGGTTCCGAAGCCGGCTACCCAAATCGTTAACAAACTTCTTCCCGAAAACAATAATCGAAAATTTGCAAGTGAAAGGATATAAATTACCGTATTTTCTCTAATAGTAGTGCACCCCGGCGATCCGAGTTGGTGACGATTTTACGGCTTCCAAGCTTTCCCAGAAGCTCAACACTCAAATCCCCCACTAGATCTCATCGTCAGCTACATTTTCCGACCCCACATCAATAGGTTCTGATCAGCGGTTCTCGAGATTTCGAGCAATTTAGACGACGCTCTGGGTGCACTACTATTAGAGAAAATACGATAACTCAATATCTTGAATATCTTCTACAACTTGCAAGATATTCACTTAATTTATACCGTAATCCGTTTCCTTTTTTGCACTATTTCTTTGAGAGGAAACACATCCTAGTTTTAAACGAAATGTAGAAAAAGAAATGAAAAGCGCTTTCTGGACATCCAAGCGTCAAACAAATGCCACCTCACCTAATAGTGTTTTTGTATTTCATAAGAAATTGTAAAAGCAATGCTAAGAAAGATCAAAAGTTAGCAAACTTCTAATCGCCTCGAGTCCCGTTCGTGCAATTCGCTCCTTTTTCGCCGTCTCTCCATAGAAAATCCATTCAACTCGATGATCGGGATGATGACTGTACATGTGCATTAAGCCAACACCAGCGATTTTCACTTTCACCTAGAATATTTCTCAATGAAGAATTTTTGTACTAAGCAGCAAACACTATTCACTAAACTACGCCGCTTTACCCCTTTAGTCACCAATTTGAAATAAATATCTTCAAAATTTAAATAGCTTCTTTCGAGCTTAAATTGTGCAATAATTTGTGCAATAAACAGGTATTTTATCTAGCTCTTTAAATCTATTTTAATTTATTTCAAGCAAAGAAATGGCTTTTGACTAAACTTGTAAGAAAATATGGCACTTTTTTTTTTCGCTAGTTCCTCCTATTCGTCCTCCTGAAAATATATCGAAAACAAAAAAAAACCCAAAAATTTTGGAACAAGACTTAGCTGTTTTGAATTTTTGATTTTCTATTTAACAATTTTGAAACAAGCAATTTCTTAGAGATTTTCGAGTACCGTATTTCTTCGAATAGAAGACCCGGTAAAGAGTATCATCGCGTACTCCTGCGTAGCAGCCCTTTTTAAAATTTCTTTTCTGCATAAAAGCTTTCAATGAAGTGCTATAGAGCTGGAAAATGGCTCAAAAATCTGTTAGCTCATGTGGTATTTTTGAGTCATTTTTCAGCTCTATAGCACTTCATTGAAAGCTTTTATGCAGAAAAGAAATTTTAAAAAGGGTTGCTACGCAGGAGTACGCGATGATACTCCTTCCCGGTCTTCTATTCGAAGAAATACGGTAGTTAAAGTTCGACTGAAACTTGCAACTAGGCCAAATTTGAAACCAACCACTCCGCCATCATAGAGAGAGATCGTCATCGAGGGGAAACGACTCGGATATCCGTTTTCTTTGATCAATTGTGAAATGTGCTGAATTTTGTCGAGTTTTTAAGCTTGATTTGTGATACGAAAGTTTTCTAAGAATTATTTTTATCAACTAAATAAACTAGCATTGCCGATTCGACTTTTGAGTAGTGAAATTGAAACATGCCTTTTTTTAATGGTAACTTTTAAGATTGTGTACTTTTTCTGTATTCTATACTCTTCTGTATTCTGTACTTTTCCTGTATTCTGTATAGGTTCTGATAAGCGGTTCTCGAGATTTCGAGGAATTTAGGCGACGCTCAGGGTGCACTACTATTAGAGAAAATACGGTATATTAAACAAATTTATATTCAGTTTTTTAAGTGATGATAAAATTAATTCTATTTTAATTTATTTCAAGCAAAAAAATGCCTTGTGATCAATCCTGTAAGACACTTTTTACACTTTATTCACTTCGTTCCTTCTATTCGTCATTGAAAATACGTCGAAAAATCTATTATTTTTACAATATTTGTAAAAAAGTGAATCTCTACGAATTGGAGCGAAAATTCCCAACGGAAGTACTTCTTTTTGAAACACACTTTTTTCAAACATAAAACAAATATCGTATTTTCTCTAATAGTAGCGTACCCTGAGCGTCGCCTAAATTCCTCGAAATCTCGAGAACCGCTTATCAGAACCTATCGATGTGGGGTCGGAAAATGTAGCTGACGATGAGATCTAGTGGGGGATTTGAGTGTTGAGCTTCTGGGAAAACTTTCGAAACCGTAAAATAGTCATCAACTCGGCTCGGCGGGGTGCCCTACTATTAGAGAAACTATGGTACTCAAAACTTGCTTTAACTTACTATTAGGTTAAATTAAATCAAAGTAAATCAAAGTAAATTAAATTAAATCAAATTAAACCAAATTAAATCAAAATTCAAAGCGATACGAAGAGCAGAGAACTATTAGAAATTCGATCAGAGACTACAAGCGACTTCCTTTTTTTGAAAATCATTCTTTTCGACTTGTATTCTAGCTTCTTTTGAACTTCTTCAAGTCATTCTAGCTTCGGGAAAAGTGTACATTTTGCTTATTCAGAGTTTTTTAGAGTTTAGCTTTTGAAAATTCTTCAGAAAGAGTCAAATAAAAGCCTTTGATACTCAAAAATTACCCAAAATTTGTGATTTTCTACCAAAAAATGCCAAAAAGTGGCTGCTAGACGAAAATTTGGCAAAAATTTCTCATCTAAAATGGCAGAAAATCTAGTTTAAGCCAATTTTAAGATTTCGAGAGGTTTGAAATCACTTTTACAAAGTTGAAACTTCTCCAAAACCGACCTTTGCACTCTTTCTCAATCTTTCAACTTCTCCCATGCGTTTCTCAATCAAATTCTTGATCACTATCAACTTCAGCTCTTTCGGAAAAGTGTTAAATGAGATCTGAAGTGAGATTCTGAGATTTTGAGCTTTGAATTTGAGATTTTTGAGGTTCTTTTTGAGATTTTGAGATTTGAGAATCTTTTAAAACTAAATTATTAGATAAACATACGCTTTTCATTGCTCAAAGCTTTATTTAAGTTTGAAGAAATCAGCAAATAAGCAAGCTAAATAAGCAAAAGCAGCTAAATAAGCTAAATAAGCTAAATAAGCTAAATAAGCAAAATCAGTAAAATAAGCAGTTAAATGAAAGGAAATATTTTTCTTGAATGCCAATTTTCTTCGTTGCCATGGATGCATTCTTGTGGCTTATTTTTAAAAGGGAAAAGATCAACAATTGAAAAAAAGAAATGATTTATCGTTAGAGAAAGTGCGGAAATGGTAGGTGAATGAAGAAGAATTGTTTGTTTTTGTTTTTGAAGAAGAATTTTCGATAGAACGATTGCAGCTTTATGTTTTAAACTAAGCCGAAATAAATTGAAAATCGAGATTTTATACTGCGATGAAAACATCAATCAAATTCCAATCCAACCAATGTTAAACCAAATTTTTGAAGCCGTCCTTGTACGCTTGTTTATCTTTTTATTTTATCTTCTGTAGCTTGCCATTATAAGTTTAATTTCTTAGGTGACCGTTTCGTGTGCGGCCTTCGATTTCGGCCAAGAAGATACCCACGACGATCGCATCAGCTTTGAATGGATCAACGCTCCTGACGGTGTCGCCAAGCAATTCGACCGCGAGTGGTTTCTAGGAGATGGAATGGTGCGCCGCAAGAATCTGCTCATCGAATACAATCCTTGATTGATTGCATGGTACTCACCTAATAAATTGCTCAGTGTGGCGAATTGCCACTGCTTTGCAGTTAGTCAAAATTCAATACACAAGTTGAAATTCAAAGTTGATGGATAAACTACCGTAATCAGCCACTAGACGATATTCAGTTGTCCGTTTGTCGTAGCTTGTGTACTTAAAAACCCATTAAAATAATTTAAGCTTTGTTTTTGAGTGAGTGGTGGTCTCCTTTTTTTCTATTCATCCCTTTTTCACACCCAAGTGTTGAATTAATTGTGATAGTGCCGGGTTGCTCCAGTTTGAGCGAAGAATTAATCGTGATAGCGCCAGGTTGCTCCAGTTTGAGCGAAGAATTAATCGTGATAGCGCCAGGTTGCTCCAGTTTGAGCGAAGAATTAATCGTGATAGCGCCAGGTTGCTCCAGTTTGAGCGAAGTTTACCCTAATAAGGGAAAGTTTTGATAAATTGTGCGTTTTCAAGACATCCACCATTGAACCACACCGAGACACGGTCTCACAAGAAATTATACTTAGCAAGATGTTAGAAAAGATTGTTAGAAAAGATGCAGCCACTTCGCACTACTGAGAAAAAAAACACCTGCAATGATGAACACTGCAAATGATGAATGAAAAGTTTATATTTACATTTAAAGAGATTTTTATAACTACGGTAGCCTTTTTGAAGCGCACGCTTTAAAAAGTGCATTGATCGCGAGAAACAAACTCTATTTATAAGCTTACAGATACGCTACATATTGTTATTCTAACAAATGTCAAATATCAGAAAACTACTGCACCACTTGGGCAAATGGGTCCATTTTTGGCTTACTAGCTTTAAAGTCTTAGACCTGGCTTATCAGAGATCAAACCAAGCGTGTCTGACCTTGAGCTGATTTTCCAGCAGGTAACCTTGAGCTGATTTTCCAGCAGGTAACCTTGAGCTGACTTATCAGCAGCATTTACCTGGTGCATAGACTCGTCATAGACATTATTTACGGTAAGTTAAACTTTACTTTCAGCAAAACATCTTTTTATGCATTAAAAAGTTTTAATTTTTAATTTTTAAGTATTTTATTGTGGCATTGTACAAGGATGAAACACTGATTTTTACAATTGTTCCTTTGCGAAACATTGATTCCATTCGCCGTCATAATAGCAAGTGCTTTCTGGAGGACACTTTTGCTCGAAAGTAGCGGCTAAAGTTTTAAATTGATTTAAAAGAAAGAGTTTAAAGGTTTTTAAAATTTGACAAATCAGTGATGATCAGTCAAGCCAGTGACACGTGTTTTACATGAAAACGATCTGTGTCCTTGTAGAGTATGGTAGCTTTTCCTAAAAGCCACCAATCACCAACTATCGTAATCCACTTTTTCATTTGATCAGCTCGACTTTTGGTATGATTGACTAAGCCTTGTGATTAGCGTGTATTCCTTCCGAGTTTTTCTTTCTTTCTACTTACTACTTTACTTAGCGTACTTTCTAAAACGCGCTCGAAAGAGAAAAACTAGCGTAATTTAATGGCTGACAGAGTGGCTGGCGTTTCTAAAGCTGTTTCTTGTTTTGCTGCTTGTTTCTAAAGCAAACACCCATTAGGCGGCAAGTTCGACCTCCGTTCGAGTCAAATTTCTTTGCCCTTTTTCATAAGCCTTTCATAGGCCCTTTAAAGCATAAAGGCTCTTTTTTTTGCCCTTTTTTGGTTCTTTGCTTGATCGATTCAGAGGCATAGAAAACTAATAAAACGGCTTATTTAAACAATTAAGTAAATTACTCACGTCCAATAGCCATTTCCTGTGTAATCGACTCAGGTCGCTTCTCGCACGGATTGAAATAGCATTGCTTCTCTTTCCCATCGTTAAAGCAAGCGCTAAACGGTGGACACATGCCGTTGATTGTAGCTGAAATTTGTTCAATTGTACTGATTAATAAATGTGAGTCTATTTAGCTATTTAATTAAATTTAGAGGAAGAAGAAGAAGAACCTTTTTCACACTCTTATTTGTAGAGTGATGAAAAGTGAAAAGATCGTTTTCAATACCTAATGAAAATTTGTTTGAGAATTATTCGAAAAGGATTCGTAATTTTATGTTTACTAAGGTATTTAAACGTGCTCTGTTCAATAAAAAAAGATTAGAGCTCTAGAATGCATCTAACTTAAGATAAAGCACATTTCTTGGGTGGAGTACTTGATGTGAAACGCACTGTATGACCAACGCACCAATTGCAATAAACTTACGTCCAATGGGTGTCGACGTGGCTGAACTGGGCAAATCAGCACACGGAAAGTCGATCATCGAAAAGTCTGAGCTCGACTCGGCTCGATTCGACTCGAAGTAGCACTGATTCGACTCGCCGTCAAAGAAACACTTTGCTCCAGATTGGCACTCATGAAGAAAACCGGCGGCTAAAGAAAAGCATTCCTTTGAAAAGTACAGTCACGTACGTCCCACAACTTGATCTTCGGTGATTGATTCAGACAAAAATGGGCACGGATCAGCGAAACACTGATTGCTGCCTTTGCTATGGAAACAAGTGGTCATTGGTGGGCATTCAGAGTTGATGGCTGCTGGAAAAAAGGAGATTTAAGGCAGGCAAAAAGGAGATTAACAAGGCAATCCAGTTTCATGGTCATGCTTGCTTTTAAATCCTCAAAACTTACGTCCCAAAGCAGCGGCGACTCCAGAAAGTGGAAGTGAAGCACATGGCGGTTCCTTGGCTTTGGGAAGGCATTCGTTTGCCGGATCTTCCTGAACCGAGCACGCGAATTTCGAGTAGCACTCGTTCATTTGGCCGTTGAAATAACATCTGGCTCCTAGTTGACACTCTTGCAAATAACCGGCCGCTAAAGAATTTGTTTCCAATCTGTTTCTAATCTGTTTCTAATCTGTTTCTAATCTGTTTGAATCAATGAGCATTTATCTAATCAAAAGAGTTATCTGCTTGCATTTTCTCTAGGTAAATCTTCTTTTAGAGTTTCTATTTGAACTATTTCCATTTCAACTTTCAACTTCAACTTCAACGTTTCAATTATTTCCTTATCATTTCGCACTCACGTCCAATCGCGTGTTTCTCAGTGGCCCAACTCGGTAAATTGTCACAATCTTCAAAATAGCACTGATTTTGATCGTTTTCGAAGAAGCACTCGCTAAACGCCGGGCACAGACCGTTTATAGCCGCTGAAAATACAAATGTTCAAAAGAATTTCTTTCTTTCTTTCTCTAGGCAAAAAAAACAGAGCTTATTGGCAGAGTAACTAAAGCTTAAATTAACACATTGACGATCATTGACATCGTATCTTTTGCGGACCTATATCTTTTCTTCTCCATGGTTACCGTAAGATGAAATCGGATAGTTTTATTCGTTACCCTTTAGCACTATATAAAGGATGGCCGGAAATTGTCGCCTCGCAGTTTTTGGGCTCTACTAAATTTCGGAGAATTTCATTTTGACGACCCCACATCTTTTGCGAAACGGCCGATTTGGGCCAGGGATCAAAATGAATAACCAAATCCCAGAAATTTGCATATCAGGGCTTAAAAGACTCTAGAATCCGAATTCGGGCTTAAATTTAGGCCAACAAACCTCATAGTTTATTTTCGCAGTTTTAATTATTTTATCTTATAATTTTGTAGTTAACTTCTCGATAAATGTCTGCTATATGTTCCCGGGTCAGAAATTCCTTTAGAATTGTTTTGAGCCTTCAAAAATTATAGATTACCTCAGAGAAACGCAATTTTTTGAAGCCGGTTTAATTACCCAAGTCCTGACTCCATCAGTGGCAGTTTTTCCTATGAGCTACACAAAAAGAACGCATAAAATTTCTTTTTTCGCTTTTTACGAGAATTCACACAACTTCCTAATAAAACTAACGTTGGATTCGGAAAGAGGACCCAAAATTACATGCTCTTGCAAATTTTGAGCTCATTTGATCCAGCCATTCACGAGAAACAGCCGTGACTGTTCACGTGATCCGAACGGGTAGCCAAGCTTGGCTTAGCATTGAGTCACGCGGTCGTCTATGTGTTAAAAGCCAAATTTTAACGTGAAAGTTCTTCATTAAGATCTTTCAAATTAAAATTTCTTTACTCTGCCTAGCTTTTTCTTTACTTATTCAATCTTTTTCTCTTTTCCAAAAGTCCTCAAAAACTTACGTCCAATCGCTTGAGTGTATCCAAATTTGGGCAAACGGGCGCATGATTTTGGCAGTGATTCCTGGCTTTCTTCTACCTCTTCCTCTACCTCTACCTCTACCTCTTCCGGTGGAAAATAGGTGGTAATCACCGATTGACAAGTGTCATTTTGACGCTCTAGAAAAATTGAATTGAAATTTCGTCAATTTTCTCCTACTTTCACTTGAGAAAACGTCGGATGACACGGATAAACAAGTCTGTTCGGCGTTTATCTGGAATTCATCTTTGCAAAACTTGCAATGATTCAAAATTAGATTCAAAAATCATATACAATAGCAAATTATTAGCTTTTTTTAAATAAATTAAGTCAATTATCGGCTTTATTTCAGAAAAACAACTATACCTGCACGAAGAAAACAGCAATCGGACTTAAAAGCAGTAATAAGCTAACCATTTTACAAATAAGAAACAGATATTGTAATCGAATTCAAAATCGAAATGAAAACTGAATGAATGGCTGAAAAATTTGAGCTTTTGAATTGGGTGCAGTTCCTTGTCTGTCCGCAAAAAGCAACAAGGGTGGCCAGTTGTGTCCACATCAGTTCTTTGTTTCTCCTTTGTTTTAAATGGGATGACCATTTTATTCTGACTTTTTTCTAGTTTAATAATTTAGAAAAATCAACAAAGGAAGTTCATCAAAGAGCTGCGAAATGACGAATTTGACTTAGTAGTCCCGTTTTAAACAGAGAACATTTCTTCATTTACAGGGTGCGGCGTGCTGTCTTTGCGCTTTTTAGAATTTTAGGCGTGCTTTTTAGAATTCTCTCTAAAAGCTTTCTGATTGATTTTATTTCATAAGTGTTTATAGCCAAAAAATAGAAAATCTTTTACAGAATTTAATTCTTATTACAGGGTCGCGTCCGTTGCCTTCCTATTTGCATTTAATTTTCGCCTCATTTTTGTCTCATTTTCTTTCCCAAATTGTTTTTTTGTTTTTCAAGAAAATTTTTTTGTGTAGCTTCTCGCCCTTTTTTGGTTTGGAGCTTGCCTTCGTTCTTTTGGGGATTTGATGTTTCTATTCATGCGCAGGCTGTTTTTTGTAATGGGTGTCATTGCCTTCCTTTTTTGCTCTGTACTATTAGGGTGTCCGGAATGAAAATACCCTCAACTTCGATTGCATCTTTTTCGGTGTAGCGAACAGTTTCGCGTCTGATTTTTATTTTGTTGTAAAGTTATATTTTTTAAAATTCTGTTTTTATAAAAATTTACTGCCTTATAATTTTAACTTTTTAGAACGGAAGATCAGAAGTACCCAGGTCGGGTGTGCTTGCTCTACGACTTCAAACAAGGAAAAAGTGTCGGGTAGAGCCATAGCTCAATCTCGAAAATTTTTGAAGAAGCTGCTTATTTAGAGGAAGCTTGTAAAAAATGGTTTCGACGATTTAGAGAGGGAGACGAAACTCTACAGGATCGAGGACGTGATCACCCCCCTCCAGCGCTCAACGATGACGATCTTCGAGAAGCCATAGAAGATGGTCCAACATTGTCGACTCGGGAACTTGCAACAATGTCTGCTGTAGGCCACACAACCCTTGGGGACCATTTACATTGTTTGGGTAAAGCGAATCTCGTCGAAAAATGGGTATCCCATCAACTTAGTGACGCTAATAAAGCTCCTCGAGTGACTATGAATATGAAAAATCGAGCTTTTTGGGACACTATTGTGACGGCCGATGAAAAATGGATTTACTACGATAACCCATCGCAAAAACAGCAGTGGTTAAGTCTAGGAGAACAGCCAAAAAGCGACGCCACAACGTGAGCCGGATGGAAGAAAGATCATGTTATCTGTTTGGTGGAATTCGCGTGGTCTTATACACTTTGAGGTTCTACCTTCCCGTCCAACAGTCACCTCAGATCTATATGTACAACAGCTGGAATGATTAGACCAGGCTCTCAAGGATCAAGATGTAAACGCATCGACTGTGAGAGATCTGCAAGATAACGCGCGCCCACACACAGCAAAGAAGAGGCAGGGAAAACACGAGGAAGGGAATGTCTCCCGCATCCGCCGTATATTCCAGATCTGGCACCCTCAGACTACCACTTATTTCGATCTATGAAGCAATTCCTCGCCGATAAACACTTCAAGGACCAAGACGAAGTCCGAATTTGGGTAGGCCAATACTTCGACTTGCAGCCTCAGTACTTCTTCAGCAAAGGGATCCGAGATTTGAAAGAAAAATGGAGAAAGACTATTGCCAACAACGGAGAATATCTTTTGGATTAAAGCGCATGATTTCCTTTTTCATTAAAAGGGTATTTTCATTCCGGTTCATAACCTAACAGTTACTTCAGTACATCAAACAAATTGGTATTAGGTTGGAAAGAAAGTTCTCGGAAAAAGTTTCCACGGTGATTTCTCAAAAACCAACCCATAAATTCTTTCCAGATTTTTTGATAAATTTGTCTATATTTCAAAAAACTTTGATAAAAAAATCAGAGTGGATTTCAGGTAAAAAATAAAAGATTTCTTCAGCTGAAGTGACTTCGTCACTTTTTGAGTGACCAGCCTTTTGACAAGTTTTTAATGGGTTAATGGATAGGTAGTGGATTCGATTCAAAACCTAAGATAAAGTATTTAAAACAGGGAAAATTTGTGATCAAGGCAAATTTTATCTAGTGCTTTCACTTTTCAGAATCACCTATTTTAGAATGGAATTAATGAAATCAAATTCAGAAAACTATTTTAAAGATGTGAATCTAATCAACTACTGTTCAATTTTAAAATGTCAACTACATGGAAATTCATTTTAAAATCTAGGGACTTTGTTTTAAGGCCGCATTTCTTTTTTTTCTGTCTTCTTGCGTTACTTGGAATATTTTTCATGAATTCATTTTTTCAAACGACACCAAGCAGTTAAATGCGCAACACAAACATCTCCACATGCAGCCGCACATGGGTAACTCCACATCTTCACCTCAGAAATCATCCAATCACCAGAGGCTCCATAGAGATACGTGCACGTTTCGTGATTTGCTCCTTTTCGAAAAACAGTCACAATGTCGTCACGTCCTTCCCATTTATCACCATAAGTCGCTGCACGATCTGCTAGCGAAAAATCATTTAAAAATTTTGAGACTTTTTTTTTAAAACCGCATTTCTTTTTCCTTGTTTTCTTGCATTACTTGGAATCTTTTTCATGAGTTCCTTTATTCAAACGATATCAAGCAGTTAAATGCACAGCACAAACATGTCCACATGTAAATGCACATGGCCGACTCCACATCTTCACTTCAGAAATCATCCAATCACCAGATGCTCCATAGAGATAAGTGCACGTTTTGTGATATGCTCCTTTTCGAAAAACAGTCAAAATGTCGACACGTCCTTCCCATTTAGCACCATAAGTCGCCGCACGCTCTGCTAGCCATTGGATCCCGTCGTGACGTTGTGTCGAATTCAAAATGTCTTGAAAGTTACGTCTAAAATAAAGTATTATCTCAATTCTGACTCTGACTAGTGATTGACAGCTCCAGTTTTCAGGCAAAGAGATTTAAAGAAGTTTGGTACTTTGGTGGTTGGGGGGCCAATAATATTTTTGATTTTCCACTTTTCTAGGTGTAATCGAGGGCGCTGAGCATGAATTTGACATTTTTAGCATAAGATAATAAACTAATAAACATACATTTTTAGCATTTCAACTGAAAAACCAACATTTCGACACGTTTAAGATTACGCTTCTAGGCGCTATTCAAGTTGGGAAGGGGGCACTTTTTTTCTTCAAAAACACTTTTTCTCGGGTAGCTTTATGCGTAGATTCCGAAAAAAACAACGAGAACTTGCGAAAATGAGTCTAAGTCCAGTTTTGGGGCTCCAAAGTGCATAATTTAACCTATTAGTTACGTTTCTGCTCAAATTGAAGCGAAATAAAATTTTTTTTTTTCAAGTTTCGACCATTTGGTCCCCCACATGAGTCCAAATCTCAAAAAATATTTTTCACGTTGTTTTGCCTCTCTACCAGTCAATTTAAGTTAGAAAATGAATATTTAGTGGTTAAAAATGTTTTAGGTCTAGTTTTGATCTTGAGAAGTGCCCCAATAGTCGATAGCTTGGGTACACGAATTTAAAGTTGCATTTAAAGTGCAAGAAAAGTTTAGTTTTGAAACGTGTCGAAATGACGGCTTTCCGATTGAGAACCTATTCTAAAAATGTCAAATTCATGCTCAGCGTCCTCGATTAATCCAAGAAAAGTGGAAAAATCAAAAATATATTAGCTTGGTAAATATGAAAGGTTATTTTTTACAAAAAATATTGCCCTGTCGCTACGAAGAACATTCGCTGTCTAGGACTTTTCTCAATAATATGTCAAAATGTGCTCATGTTTTTTTTGCAAAAACCTTTTTGTTTTGAATAATATTTGTATTGTTTCAGCTCGGCAAAGATGGATGACCAAAAATTTAAAATCAGGGCCGGCATTTTCTTTGAATTCAAGTTAAACAAGAAAGCTACGGAATGCCATCAGAACATTTGTACTATTTTTGGAGAAGCTGCTCTTACTTACAAACAATGTTGTGTTTGGTACGATGGCTTCAAAACGGGAAACGAGTCATTGGAAGATGCACCACATGGAAAGCCGCCGATTACTTTGGACGATCAGCTGTTACTGAACGAGGTCGACTTGGATCCATCGCAAATTAGCAGAAAAGTTCGGATGCACTCATGTTACCATTTACACGTTTTCGGGAAATCATATCGAAGCGGTAAATGGCTCCCCCACGACCTCACTGATGCCCACTAAGTCACACGAGTCACCTTGAGCTCTGTTCTTCTACGTAAGGCTAGCCATCGTGACTTTTGGAAGTATTTTTTGACATCTGATGAGACTTGGCTTTTGTATGAAAATATTCAACTCTATGGACAGTGGCTGAGTTCAAAGCAGACCTCTCATCCTATCCCGAAGCCTCCGAAAAAGTTATGCTTTGTGTGTGGTGGAATCCTAAGGGATTGGCTCATTTTGAAATATTAGATAAAGGAGACACTGTTGACGGGAGACTTTATGCAGAACAAATGGGTCGAGTCGATCCAGCATTGAGGAAAAAGAGGATCGATCCATCGAAGGTCAAATTTCTTCACGACAATGCTAGGCCTCACATTTCAAAGATCGTCCAAGAACAAATCGATACGTTGAGCTGGAAACTTCTTCCACACCCACCATACAGTCATGATCTAGCCCCATAGGATTACTATCTCTTTCGGTCAATGAAACAAGCAGTTTCTGGACAGCAGTTCAAACAAAAGTAGGACATCGAAAATTGGGTTGGCAACTATTTTGCCTCTAAAAATCTTCATTTTTACGAGGACGGTATTCGTGATTTGGGGCAACGTTGGAAAGAAGTTATTAATGCTTGTGGTGAATACATTTTATTTTGAAAGTGTTTAAATAAATTTTT